TTAACATGTGATTAAATATCACTTAGTCAATCATGTTTTCTAATTAAGCAGAATGTGTGATAATTTTGTCCTCGATAAACAACAATCCTTGGTATGAAATGCAATACATCCTTAAAAGTTTTGTAATAACCAACTAAAATCCCAATTTATCATGTCTTGAAGTGAAGAAAACCCAGTCATGACTATGTTTGTTTCTGCACGTGTGAGTAATCCTTCTCACTTGAAGCCATATGCTAGCCTTTTCTGGAAAAAAAAACAAAACAAAAACCCACAACAAATTTTAAAATTTTGTATAAAGAAAAGAAAGTGAATGGAGTATTTTTTTTCCTCAGTATTTTCAACAGTTACAAAATAAATTTTAAAAAACCTAACAACCACGCAAAAACTACACTACCACTGTCACTATATACTTTATATTCCATGTTGATGTACTGTATAAATTTTCTGGGAAAGAAATGCTAAAAAGCTTTTGAGAAAACATTTTTTAGTTGTGCTAACAAGCATGTGGTATTTGTAATAGCTGTACAGCCGCGTCACTCACCTGACCTGAACCTTAACCCTTAATTATTCCGTGAGTGGAATTCATGTCCCACTATTAACGTGGAGTAGATGTGGGATCAAATAAGGCTGAAATGTGAAGGTGGGCACCGCTCCCTCTGACCCACGCAGCATTTGATGATATTAAAGGAGCCTGTTCCTGGGAATTCTCAGAAAGAAATAGGATTTTTTTTTGAGTCATTGTGGTTTGGGGTTTGTTAAATTGTACACAGAAACGGGATCACTGCCTGATTTTGCTGACCTGTACCTTCAGGAAAAAAATCTAGTAACTCACCTCACAGGTGAGAAGCTTTAGGGTTTTTATCTGACTCCTGAGAAGAAATGGGAGGATGTGGTAGAAAAGCCTATAGACTAGCCAGGTTTGGGAAGAAAGTTCAGATCAACCTTTTTAGGGTAAAATACCAACAAGAACACTTAAAAGAACTGTATTTGAAACTTATTTGTAAAGTACTATGTTGTTATGATCAATGTATAATCCCAGAGTAATTTATGCGTTGTATTTACGTGGGTATAATTTTTTAGAACCAACAAAAGTTACAACTTCTCCAAAAGTACACAAAAGACCACTACTGAATGTTTTTTTTCCTTCTAATGTGACTAAGGAAGTGTAGAAGTATAAAGCTTCTAGCCCCTGTTTTTCAGATTACAAGGCTTTTCTTTCACCCCGCTGTTTTGTTGCTTTTGTGTGACTTTGAGAAACAAGAATATTTCAATTACCTGTATTACGTTGATATGATATTTATAAATTCTTGAACATTCAAAATTGTCATCTCAAAGGCATATAGGCATTGCCTTTTTTTTTCTTTTTTTTTTTTTTTCCTTTATTTTTGTTATATGCAGAAATTTTCTCTGGTCTGAATTACTTATTATAAAAAAAAAATCTATATCAGTATGGATTTTTCTCTGGATGTCTCTTTACTTGAAATCAGACTAGTCTTGTCTTTTTGCTTTTTGTATTTATGCCTGGAAAAATTTAAATATTGGCGTTTTGTGTAATGTAATTCACAGTAAAGGTAAGTACATTCATTTAAGTGAGTTAGAAAAGTATACTTCACTGACAGTAATTGCTCAGTGCAGCCTTTCAGAGAATGAAAAATTTATTTATCTCACTGTTTCCTCTGTGAGACCTGATTCTACAAAAATGCCTGGGAGAAACTTAATAATTTTAAGTTTTTCCAGGCTATGCTTTTTAAAGACACTTTACTCCTTATGAGAATTGGGCTTGTGTAGTCATACTGGTATTTTGTCCTTTTTCTTTGTCCATGTTAATTGAACTGAACTCCCTAAAAAACTTATAAATTAAAACAACAGTGAATCTATTGCAATATGAACTAGCCTTGTTAGAAAAAAAATTTCAGAAAAATACAATTATGCTGCAGTTTTGGGATAAATGTCACTGCTTTCTATTGAGTGGTTCATCAAAAATGCATTTTTACTGCCAGGATTTTATTCTCACTTGACATCAGTTGAATCTATATCACTGGCCTATTGGCTTAGTAACCTGTGAAATAAAGTGAATCTACATGAAAGTTACAGAAAACATTAGTCCATCAAAATATAATTTTACCAACAATAAGAGTAAAGCTTGGCAAAAGCTGGATTACAAAAGACTTTATTAATATATATGAATACATGTGAACCTGTCCTTCGGAAGAATACCTTTTCACCATAAACTGAAAAGGTTTTACTTGATGTGAGCAATGCTATGACAATATGTTAAATTAATTAATTCTTTCTAATGGAAGAGAGCAATTAAAGAAATTAAACACTTTTCCTCCAACTTGATTTTTGAGATGGCTGCAGTTCCGTTGTATGATGCAGCACCAGACATTCCCCTGCAAGGAAGGAGGCAGCGGTCACCTGTAACCACCATTACCTGCTGCTATCAACTACCTGGATTTTCAGATGCCTACATAATGTGTGTATGGAAGAAAACCAAACATCCTAAAATTCACAGTTTTAGCTCTGGTATTTCACTGATTTAAGCTGTAACACAGATGGTTCACAGAAAGGAGAAGTTGCCTAGTTGTCTGGCCCACACCATGCAGCAATCCATCATCTTCCATGTGGTTCTAATCCTTTAGCAATGCATATCATCAGAGATGTTATCCTGGCCTGTCATTTATCGTCTAAATGTTATTTTGCATAATTTCCTTTTTAATGGCAATTCAAATTACTTAATTATATATGCTGTTTTTTTTCAAATCTTGGCTCTCATTAATTGAAAGCGTATATCTTTGTATAACTGTACTGTAAAAATAGTTTAATAAGTAGCAATAATTAAAATGTTAACGATGAGAGAAAATACTTGGTCTAGTTCTAGTATCGAATGAAAATTGTCTCTGTGTCAGATAAAGCCAAGCTTAATGTTCAGTCTTTCAAACATTGACTAGGACTATGCTTATTGTGAGTGACATTATGTACTATATTTAGTAACAGATGCAAAAGTTAATGATCTCTAGAAAAATTCTGGTATGTTAGTAAGTTTTTTTTCTCTAAAAAGCCAGTGATAGGTGGAGTTAAATTTTGCAAATTCGATGAAATTGAAGGATTCTTTCTGTATTGGATGATTTGTTGCCAGACTGAGGAACCAAACCAGTGATCTGATCTTGTGTGTGTGATGGTGACTGGAATCAGGTGTAAGAAATGTGATGCAATGGAAATTAGGGTCTGCAATCACAAGAGATTTCCTGTCAATCCGAGCAAGCAGTTGGCTTCTGCTTTGAAGCGAGATTATCTAATCATACATGGTTTTGACTAATGAAACTGTGGCTGCTGTGATAAATCTGCAGATAAATACCTAATCCTGTTTTAAAATGTGACTAAGTAGCTCTTTACATGAGCAGGGACTGAAAATGCCAGGCTTTTGCCTTTTATCAACCTATGCCTAATGCTAATAAACACCACTTGAGGTATCTGCTGAGGACTACAGGCTTGTTTAAGGTAATGCACGTCAGCCGTGATAGGTGCTGCAAGTGCTCTCATCGCCCCAATGTAGAGACCAAGTTAACCATGTTTTATGGGGTTTACACTAAGGAGCATTTCTGTTGTGTGGCTATACATTAAGCTATGCTACAGTCAGCAGAGTGGAAGTGATCTTGAAAAGTTTGGGAAGAAAATAACATCTGGCTGGGGATGAACTTCATAAGTGGGGTGAGCGTGGGGTGGTGCTGAGGGAAAGGGTGCTTGCAAATGTTTGGTCAAAATTAAAGCGTGTTGCTCTTTAGCTGAGAAGCAAGAATTTAAGCCAATTATTCTGTACACACAAAATGTTTGTTGCCTAATCAGAATTCCAGAGAGAAAGGATAACTGATTAATCCAGTGTCTTTCTCTGTGGTTCCCATCATAAACAGGGGACAACTCTGGGCATTTTTTGCGAATACAACAGTAAAAGAAAACTGTGCCTTCTTCCTTTTGGTTGCATAGTAATGCATTATTAATGCCAGGGCAGAGAACTGCAGGAATCTGGGAGGTCCTGCTTCCCCAAAATGGAAAGGTTTTGCAGAGGTTGTATTTCTCTAAAGCGAGCAGTCTGTCTGAGTGTATCTAGCTCCTAGAAAAGAGGAGAAAAATTCATTGTCTTTGTTTACTGAGGCTTTAAAAGCATCTCCTGAACCCCTGCACTCAATTCATTGAATATGTGTTGTAAAAAGCCAGATCTCCTCCTGAAGGACTGTGCAGGAAAATAATGTTACATCATATAAAAAGCCAACAGTCTTTCCGCACAGGGGGCTGGCTGCTGCCTGACCCTGACTTCAAACACAAATCTCCCCAAATTCCTTCTCACTATGTAGTTTCATAACTAGCTATTCTTGAGAATTTTCCTTTCATATCTCCAGGGAAGGAAATGGAGAACCAAATCTGAACTTAACCCCTTGTTATACCAGCAGAGAGTAGCATTTATAAGGTGTCTACAGGCATGAACGTTTGGGTGTTTTCTAATTTCTCTGTTTATGCCAAGTTATGTTAATGTTAGCATCTCAGGCTCTAAAACTGCAACATAGTGCTTCATATTACAAACAGGAGTCAGATAAATGAACAAGATAATAAAAACTGTCTGAATGCTTTGAATTTTCCAAAAGGGTACTATGGCATGATCTAAATAGTTTACAGTATGAAATATGATCTTTAAGGCCCCTTCCAACTCAAACCGTTCTATGAATCTATGAATGACTTTTGCTACTGACATTGAAATGAAAGGGTAAACTTGGATTCACATAAGTGGAGCCAATTTGAGTCCAGTTCCCACATAAAGATACACTTTTTCTCAGAAAAAAATTAAATCCCTTGAGGCCTGGTCTTTTTTGCAAGCGATTCTGACCCAATTCGTGTGTATTAGATGTAAAATTTATATCCTTTCCTCACTCACAGACACTGCATGAAAAATTATGGGGAAAAATGCCTTGTAGGTTGCATCAGCTTTTTCTTCTTTATTCCCACAGGCACAGCAGCTAACGGATCTGGAGCAAAAACTAGCAGTTGCAAAAGATGAATTGGAAAAGGCAGCCCTTGACAAAGTAAGAGGTGTAATGTAATGTAAGCATGTTTATCTCTATCACCTGTGAATGTTTCAGTATAATTTGACAAAAACAAATGAAAGTCTTACAAAGATGTAGATGTTTACTTAATGGCATGTACCTGGGTGCAATGCTACTGAAGTCGGTGGAACTAATTATGATGCATGAAGCTAAGTACAGCTGCAAAGTTATTTAAGAGAAGGGCAATCAAATTAGAAAGAAACATCTCAAAAACCCACAGAAAGCCAAGTGCTACAATTCTTTATGTATGTGCAAAAGTACATTAGCGTGAACTTGTCCGTTACTGATAGGATTTTCATCTGAGGTTTAGTCACAGTTCCAGGTAGGATGCAGTAAAGAAATGGGTCAGTCTCCTGTTAAGGTGGGACTGATGTGACTCTGCTGTGGTCAGAGGTGACTGCCCAGGACAGGGAGGCAGTGGGGAATCTCAGGAAGGGGACAAAGCAGGACACGTTCACTCCTGACAGCTGTGCAACAGGGGAATTTTATTCTAAATTTAGGGTAGCTGGGAAGAAAATGTCATGCGATAGGGAAAAAAACTCCAATACGTTATTAAAGACTTTTTTTGTTTGCTTTCTAGTATTTTCAGGTTCCATTAGAGGTTTTTAAAAAGATATACCCCTCGAGCTAAAAGCATTTGTCTTTAATCTTCAATATTGCAATCACTGAAATCATCCTCTTGAGTGAGGATTTGCATCCAGCATTGCAAAATATAAGCAATGCTCACAATAACATTATCTAAACCTGTGTCGCATCTGGTGATATATCATGTTTCTTGTCAGTAAACTGAACTGAACTGTTCCAGTATTAACTTAAATATTAAGCACGTTGTTTTTTTGCTCGTATAACATTCCCAGGCATGGTCTCTCCCTAGTGCCAATTCACTGTCTGTGGCAATGGCAAGAGAGCAACGCTTGCCATGAATACCTTCTAAATGCAGTTATTCATTATAATGCAGAGAGTTGTGAAGGAGACAGCAAAGAACATTTGACATCGGGAACTTTTAATGAGAATGCTATTAAGGGATTCTGTCTGCAAATTAAAAGGGGATTTGCAGCACACCCAGCTGACTTCTCTGACCTTCTGTTTCTTTCCTATTAAATATTATAGAATTTTGATTTAGGGCTCAGTTACGATTTCGTAGGTTTACCAGGAGCCCAGTGTCCTCTTCTTGCAAATTATCATTGAAAGAGCCTTTGGATGGCGTTATCGCTTACATGCTGCAAAAGTCCAGTGGAAATGGCACACAGGAGTTAAAAAGGCAGCACGGAGGAAGGAAAAAGGCACAGTTCATGCCAGTGAGAATTGTGAGACAGTTATATGAGACGTCTGTGTTTGACTATTTCTAACTGCAGAGAAGTAAGACCATTTAAGTTGCAGGTACCTTTTCCCCCTGGTTAAGAGCTTTTCTGTAAGAACTATGAACTTAAAAGAGTTAGAGACAGCTGATGGCTCATCCATATGAAATCTTGGCCTTAACTGTTTTGACAATGTTAGCAGACATAGTTTCAGCTAAAGGAATGGAAGCAATATGTAAAGCAATGCACATTTTTGCAACATGAGCTGTATTTGAAATGAATAATTGAGTGATCGAATTTCAGACTGTGCCTGTAAATAGGCATTAAATTGTATTTTTCTTTTGGGAGGCTGTCAGGCTTATCTATTAAATATTAGTTTGTGCTGACAGTGGACTTGGTGTCTCTCATAAGCCTATTTACACTACAGCACTTCTCTAGTTTCCGTGATGGATCCTTGGAAGACTGACAGATTTTTGCATTACCATAGCCCAGATTATTCTATATTGAATTCAACCACATGACAAGAGTATAAACAGATCTGGGAAATCTGAAGACACGCATCTCACATTGGCAGTATTTTAACTACTAAGCAGCCTGTTTGGACCACAGTCACATCTATGCAAGGTTATTCAGAACTTTGTCAGATAACGTCCTTGGTTCCAATAATGTTTCCTTATGTCATACTCTTGTGCCGCCCATTTATAGATCTCCTGTCAGCAAAGCCAAAATTGAATTTTGCTACCCATAGGATTAAATCAAAATATTCTGCTTTTACTTTTGGAATGGCACGATGGCTGGCCATAGGCAAGGTAGAACAAGCACTGGATGGCAGGGGCAGGAGATGAGAGTAAATTATCCAGAAGGATTTCTGGACAGGAGGTGTGTTGTTTCAATCAGCATGATATGCAGGGAGTGCTTGGGTCATAGAGTGCTATCATGGTTGAGTCCATGTCTTCAAGCAAAATTAGACAGTCTGCTGCCTCTGCCAGTTTGGTGTCTGAGCTTATTTTGACTATGCCAAATGGTGATTTATGCTCTGTGTGCAGCCACTGCTTGAAAAGGTAGAGGAAAAGACATATTACATGAAAAGAAATATGCTAAGATCTTCTGTCGTCAATTAGAAATTAAAAGATCTCAGAGTCAGATGGATAAAGTAATCCTTTCCCCCTTTTACATTGCCATTAGGTCAGAGACATGTTGGTCTGACTCATACATTTTAATAACTAGTTATTGATACAAAGTGCTGTCCTCTTTGATGATAATCTAGCATTCCTCCTCACTGAACACATCTTAAGGGAAAGACATCCAATTTTGTCTGTTTGCAAACAAACTAATCTCCATTCTACCTCCTGTTTTCTTTGATTTTCCTTACTGTGCGGCTTGCAAACAAACTAATCTCCATTCTACCTCCTATTTCTTTGATTTTCCTTATTCTGCTGTGCATTAATGGTCTTTTTATGATTGTCTTTGATCCTACCATTGAAATGTACCCTAGTAACTGGTTTTGTTTATTTTTAAAGAAACATTCAGATTTTTCCAGTTACGAGATACACTCCCTCGTTCCATTTCAGGGAAAGTTTATCTGATGTTAAATATAGAATATTTGTCAGGTTCTAAGAAACACTTGTTCGGCAAATAAACTAAAATAAGGTGGTGTATGCTGAATGCCATTGCTTGCGATTCATATAACTGAAATACTTTTATGTGAAATATTACATGCAAAATATAGTATGTAGAGTGTAGTATGTTGAATATACATGTATTCTCCCTCAACTTTTGCCGTAGTATACCTCACAATCCTTGATTTATGTATCTTCAAAAAAAAAAAAAATCTTTGAGGGTCAAAATGTGCTGATGTACCCTGGAGTTACAGCCATATTCTTAACGGAAAGAATTAAGAGCAAGATATTTATTTTAAGGCCAAATGCTGCCGAACTTGACCTAACATGAACATATGGAAGTTACCTCAATATCTAACATGTTACTCCAAGTGACTTGCTGTGATGGAGCGAGGATTTAAAATGAGATTTCCTCAGTGTTGTGCTTATTTCACTGTTCTTACTGTCTCAGCTTATTTCAGTGACAGACTGCTATTTTCATTAATACAGCTATCTGTATTTCTGTGAGTCAAATAGCAGCATTCTATCTAACATGACTTGCGAGCACTTCATCACTTAAAGGTTTTAGTTTGGCTGCTTGATGGACAGTAGTAATGGATCTGGACAATGATATTCTTAACAGATGAAAAGACCTATGGTTTATTTACTATACACTGCAGCAGCATAATATGCACATGAGGGAAAGTAGCCCTTGTAGAATTAAAATCAGTCTTTATAACCTGTGGATAAATACCGATTATCCTAAACATTATAAACAGAATTCCATGCAAAGTCTGCATCTTGCAATACTAGTGAATATTTACTTCTCTCTAACTATTATATGTAAAAGTCTGGACACTGTATGATGTTTGGTAGATTGTATTTTTGTTTCTTCTCAGATAAAATAATATTTAATAATTATTTGCAATAATCAATGTGGATAAAATTGCATGGAGGAAACTGAAGAGTGCAATGACTTTCTAGGCAGTTTGGTGTGTAATGCACAGTAACCTAATCATATAAAAAACCCAGCTTTAAACGGCCTCAATTTCTTCTGTTAATAAGAAAAAGCAGCAGCTGCTCATATATGTTTGCTTTAATGCAGAGAGAGAAAGCAAGCAATTCTGTTTATAATAACGCACCTTAGAGAAGTGATGATTTCTTATTTTCCCCAGGAGTCACAGCTGAAAGCTCTGAAGGAGACGGTGCAGCTTTGCCTGTCTTCCGTTCTGCACAATCAGCCTCCCGCTACGAAGCTAATCCCTTCAAAACCAGCTGAGAAGCTGACATCCCCGCTTACAAAGGGCTCAAAAGTTGCATTTCAAGTGACAAGCACCAAGGTATGGTTTCTCTCTCTTTTTTTTTTTCCAACATCTTTGAAAGTTTGTCCTGTAAGAGCACCAAACTGGAACTAAGGAGGATTTGAAATGATTTGAAAAGATTAGGATGAATTTTGAGGATAATTCTAAGACTGTTTCTGATGTCAATAAACTTTTTTTTTTTTTTTAAAAAAAGCTGAGAAGCAGCTATTATTTTTGCTGAGGAACAAAATTCTATCTATCACTTGCTAAATGGACCATGTCTGCATACCAAATCTACATGGAAGATGGATTTGCATCTAAAATAAGTGAAGATGCTAATTTATAAGATTACTTACCTGTGAGGCACTGATAATGAGCTTGTGGTAACGTAGCACTAAACAGTAAGATACTTTTTCCTTGTTATGTTTTTTTTAGTGAAAAAGACTGATATAAAACCATAAAGTAGTCTGTGACACCCAAATCAAACTTGCCAAAAAAGGTTCTATGTGATCAGTAATAGGCCATAGGGAGTATGCAGCTTAGGAGAAAGCATGAGAAAAAGACTTGATGGAAAGTGTTTTGATTCAGTAGATTTAAGATTTTTAATGATTTAAAGCGGTTAACAACTGTCCTGATTATTTTCATCTCCAAGGTTGCATTTTCCTTATGTATTCAACTGATTCAATAGATCTAGAAGAAATCTGTTATTTCATTTAAAAAGGAAGTTTTACAGAAGAATGACCAAAGGATACTTTAATATTCTCTCTAAATTCCAAAACTCTTTCCTGAAATATAAATAGCAATAGCTAATTCATAGCCAATTTGTAATTTTTATACAGCAGCTGTTGATATTCACCATTAGCACAGAGACTGAAGCCAAAAATTAGTCATCTTTCTGTATGTAATTAAAATTGAAATATAATTTCAGAAAGCAGAATATAATTCTAAAACTGGATCTCACGTTGCTACTCTTACAATAATGATTGTTGGTTCCTTAATAGCTGTTTTATAGGAAGAAACCTTCCATCCCAAAAATTATTACCTCTGGAAACAAAACACTATTAATTAATAGCATCACATGGGGATATTGTTGCTCATTTAGATTTAAATCACTGGTTCTGTGTTCTGCAGGAGAGTGGACTCTTTCTTTGTAGGTCGTGCAGTCTGAACTTCACTCTGAGATCTCAGGAGGACATTTTTCCTAATTTATGTGGCTGTAGGATTGTTGATTTTACTCTTACTGTCCTTTTCTTCAGGTTGGAAACATTTGTGCCTCTGCCATGAAAGCAGAGGTGTGCTGAAGATAGACACTCAACACGCCACACTGCCTGTTTTTGAGATTGATGTAGGGTCAGAGCCTTTGAAAAAATTTGGGTCTCCTTGGTTTTAAAGGTATCGATGTAGTGCAACGAGAGAAATGGGAATGCAGTGTAGAGATTAGAATTAGATTTTTGGTATTTAACTGAAACACAGAATACTCTTCTTCTTTCCACGATCGTATAGATTTAGTGTTTAATGTTCCTGTTTGTTAAATGTATCAGTATTTCCATGCTCCAGCCTTTTGAGAACCAGCATTTAGTCCTCTGTATCCAAAAGTGCTTGAATAAGTTACATTTCCTCTTTTATAGACGTTGCTCACATTTCTCTGCACTTGGCACATGCCATGAAAATGTCTGAGAAAATAATGGCCTGCAATCCTCTTCTTCCACACATTGGCACCTCATTATTACAAATCTGTGCATTATCTGTGATTATAAAACCACTGAAATCTGCTGCTGTGAAATAGGTTGTCAAAGAATCGTAGTCAGTCCAGAATTATACCCTCTGCACTTGAGCTGTATTATAGAAGGCTTTTTTTTCTCTGACATCCATTCTTATGTGTCTTTTCCTTGGCTTTTTTTCCCCCTCTTACAAACCAACTAACTCTAACTACAGATGTATAGCTTGCTTTTTTTTTTCTTTTTAATTTGATTTACATAAACATTTTGATGTAGCAGGCTAGTATTTTCAGGTGAATATAAATGTGTGTGATTACTTACATATGTTTTCATATGTTAAAATTGGAACTTCAGATGAGCAGCACTTGCGCATCTTGTCATGTCTGATAAGCAGTGGTTTCACCTTCAGGAAAGAAATTATGATTTGTCTGGTAAATATCTTATTTCAAAGATATTCTCATCCAACCTAAAAATTGCTTTCTACAAATGTCAAACTTATTTTAAATCCAGTGAAGGGTACATCATGTGGTATTTGTATCACTTAGGGACAATCATCACTGGGCCTGGGGGGGCTCCTGCTTTTAAAAAAAAAAAAAGTACGTTGTATATTTGTATTCATAACTGGTAACCATAATACCCGAGTGCTTGTTAGAGATGATATTTAACACAAGAACGTGGTGTAGAAAGTATAATTAGGAAAGCAAATTGCCAAATTTCTTGGGAAGGTTCATTTTAAAAATTTATTTCCTAGTGAGGTATTTTGGTCTTTCTGGAGAATGTGATATGAAGAAGCATAAATTAGGTTTTAAAACTCAGTGCAAATCAGTGGACAAAAGTGCCTGAATCAGTGCAAAAAAGTTGTTGTTCTGGATAGCTCAGTAATTTGGAAGAGTGGGTAGTAATAGAAAATTCTTGCATTTAAATCACAGGAAAAGTTCCTTTGAAGTGATCAAAAGCAGTACCGGTCTGATGTGTATTTTGTGGCATGACTTAAATTAGTTATTATTTACAGTATACGAGAACGTAAAATACAGAATTTACCATTTGAATTGGCACTAGTCTTTCAGACCAAACCATTTTTCCTTTCATGTGTCTGTCATAACAGTGATACAGGACTTTGTGCATACAAGTTCAATGACACTAAACCCAAGCATAACCAGCATGCTGATCATTAATCCTGAACCGTGAGGTCTTTAACTTTCTGGATTATTGGCAGTTATATTTATTATAGAGTTTCTTTTGCACTGTAATGTCACAGCGATACTGTTCTGTGTTCTGCCAGTGGAAAATTTTTTCAAACTAGTTGAGAGTTGTTGAATCTGGCTTTTCCTGTAGCAATTTCCTCGCCTTGTGCCCATTACAGAGGTGATGAGGAAAAAGAAAAATGAAGAGGAAGGAGGAGAACTGAAACTCTGCTTTCCTTTTTAATCTCCAAATGTCCTGGGTCCTTGAAGAGTGTTGTTAATGGATGGAAACTGTAATACTGACGAGGCTACCTGCTGTGGGGAGTGTGGGTTGGTATAATCTGTGAATCAGAGCACTGGTACTGACTTCCTATTGAGGCATTTTCTGCATTTACTGTATCTCAGCAAAACAAACAACTCTGTGAATTTATATGGAGCTAGCAGATGGAATGCATTCTTACTTCATTTGCTTTAATTCCTCTTTCTGAAAAAGGTTAACATTATACCTTAAAAAAAATTAAGGCTAATATTGGCTGTCATTCACATATCTTTGGCTGTGCAATGTAAATATACCTGTGCTCTGAATGCAACAAAATGAGCTCTAGTAACACTGTGGAAAATTAATGGCAAACCGAAATCAGAAGTGAAACGGAAGAAAAGTCTATTTCCAGTAGCAAGGTCGAATACATGTATTATGGGGAACACAGTGACACAGATACCAGAATAGTAAGTAGTTTGCTCTATAGTGTTTTTGCCTAATGCAAAAGCATTGTTCTATTTATTCCTCAAATGAATTCCTTCATCATAAATGCCCTGTTTGTTGTTTGGGGGTTTTTTTGTATCTTGTGAACTGTGCTATTTTAAGAGTGGAAACACACATGAATTTCAAACTGTGAAGAATAACACCTCGTCCCATATTGTACATAACATAGGTGGAAAGACCACCTGTGAATGCCTCTTCAGTGTCCTAGACTCAATGGAGGAAATATAGGTCGGATAAGAATGAGAACTGTCCTTCTGTAGAAGTGTATAGTACAGACTGAAAGGGGAACAGCCAATCCATTTTTAAAAGATTTAAAGATTTCACAAGAAAATGCATCGCTTTTGTGGTAAAAATTGCTGCAAGGAGCTCTTGCTTCTACCTCACATATTGAGAATACTGTGGGCTCTGGCATACATTGATCAATGTGAAAATTCAGAAAAGTTAAAGTACTGTGGGTCATCCTCCTTTTGTCTGGAAATAAGTACTTCATTCCCCATCAAAGTGAGCTTGAGGAACTTTGTATCTTTATTACACCTAAAAAAGTGTTCTTGTTGAGAGCTTGTGAGACTGTTCAGAGAAGGTACCAGTCTGGAAAGTTGGTCAGGATCAAGGTAGACTCTGAAAAGCATTTTGAAATGGCCATATGGGAAATCAAGAGGCTGAGTTTTCTGTGTTGGCACAGAAATAATGTATTTAGGTTAAATTTAAGCTCACAGTTATTCTGAGTGCATGGTTACTGAGCATGTACTACAAGACATAGAGCAAAGCTGCTGAAAAAATACGATGATTATAGTGTCAAGAGTGTTAGCTTCTTCACTAATTAGGAGTTTTGAAGGTTTGCGTTTGGTGGTTTTTTTTCAGTAACTATTTGTAAAGGATCTATGAATTGTCTAGAAATCCAGGATATTTCTTAGGCTCTAGATCTTATCCATTTCATTCTACAAAAGTAGAATGAATATTTATGTAAAATAATGATATAATAGTTGATTATTTGCACTAAATATTATTTATACAAATTTTATCATATTACTGATAATGCTGTAGGGTATTATATAACTGGCTAGACATTTTAAAAACACTAAAGTCATGTGTACATTTCTTCAAAATATACATAGACATTTTGAAGGAGTGAAGAAGTATTTGAAATGTGTAGGTTGGACTCAATCCATGTTTATAAAGACTGAAAAAAGTTTTTTTAAATTATCTTTTAAGAGTATTTTTTTAGAGCCTGGAAAATTAACAGAATAGCTTCAGATTCATGAAAGATTAACCAACTGAATGTAGCAGTGTAACATCTCAGCTCTCTCCCTTTGTAGGTCAAGAAAGAAACCTAAATCCGAACAAATTGCTTCAGGAAATATTTTCTATTTTCTC